TTTTTCTTTTTTTTTTCAGTTGAATGACAGATTTAAATTGAATGTCAATAAACTGAATGCCTCTTGTAACAGTTAGTTCTTGATGTTTATATTTATGTATTTATATTGAATTTCGATAAGAATTGAAATGAATTACAGATTGTTTTAGAACAAGAGAGTAAGTGAACTTTGTCTCTTGTCACAGTTACCTCTGGATGTTTATATTTTATGTATCTATATATGAATCTGAGTCCATTGCAAATGGAGCTGGAAGAGTCAATGTTGACAATTCTTCTGGCATCGTGCAAATAATGGACTAGATCAAAATGGCTCAATTAAATTCTAGTGCTTCTTCTATTAGTGAAGTTTCTAGAAAAAATATATCAAACGACGCAACGTACCTTGGGTCGCTATGGAAACAGCCTCCTTGTATAATTACAAGGGTAAGGTCTGCGTACAACTGACCCCCCAGACCCCAACCTGTTTGAGAATATACTGGGTATGTTGATGTTGATGATGTTGATGTATCTATATATGAATCTCAATAAGAAAATTGCAGTGTGTTACAGCTTGTTTTAGATCAAAAGAGTGAGTGAGTGTTAGTGTATTGAATTTGCTAAGTTAGGGAATTATCTTTATCGGTCGATTGGTCAATTCAATTCCGGCTAAGTTTTTGTACGCAATATTGATAATTAACTCCGCATACTTTATTTATTTTATACTGTGACAGTTAGATGAACGCAAATTCGAAATAGCCGAGGACATGTTCTGGAAAGATGGAGAACCATTTAGGATAATAGGGGGTGACTTGCATTATTTTCGGGTGCATCCTGAGGTATAAAAAAAAAAAAAAAAAAAGTGTGGATTTTTATTTGTAATAATATATCTTTCTCAAATATGGATTTTAGTATTGGGAAGATCGACTGATGAGAGCAAAGGCATTGGGCCTAAATACAATCCAAACTTATGTGCCGTGGAATTTGCACGAACCGAAACAAGGCCATTTCGTGTTTGAGGATATTGCAGATATACTCTCGTTTATTGGGCTCTGCAAGAAATTGAATTTGTTGGTAATGTTGCGGGCCGGGCCTTATATCTGTGGAGGTGAGCATCATTTTTCAAAATAGTTATTCGATTGATTCGAAATGAGTAGTTTTGTTTTGCATCTTGATTTTTTTGAGTCTCTAGTGATCTGAAAGTTGGCACCAACTTATACTCGATTTTCATGTTTTTTTTTTTTTCCATGAATTAGTTTATTTTATTTTCGAATTTTCCTTTGTGTTTGTAGAGTGGGATTTAGGTGGTTTTCCTGCATGGTTGCTAGCTGAAGAGCCCGCAATTCGACTAAGATCGTCTGACCCTGCCTTTCTTAACATGGTATTTATTTCTACATTTATTTTTTGTTTTCTCTCCGGAAATTAACTTATTGAAGAAAATTATTTGCCTCTCTTAACACAATTGAGCATGGTTTTGATGAAAATTGCATTCCAGCAAAAGCTACTTATTTAGCTCAAACATTATTCGTTTTTTTTTTTT